TTCATTACATCTGCGGTCTTATTCAGAGGCTATAAGAACCCAAATTAGAATATAATATTAACTACTGTACATTTTCTGGCCTGGAACATAATAATAATATGAGGGTACATAAGGTACTTCCTATAATGAGAAACGGAAACGGAAAACACAGAGTGAGACGTCCGGACACAAGGTGGACCGACGACCTCAAAAGCAGAAAGGCGCTGGATGCATGCCGCTACCAATCGGGTGATGTGGATATAATTGGGGGAGGCTTATGTTCAGTAGTTGTGGCTGAAATTGTGATTTCTAATCTTACTGTCAATATTAATATCTACATGTCTATATGTCACACACATCACTAAATATACTCAATAAAGAATTAAAATATTGCTCATAATTGCAAAAAATAACAACAATAAAAGATGTCACATCTTTTTAAAAGTCTTTAAACGGTTTTTTTGTGTACGTAGGTAATTAGGTAAGCCCTGTGTGTTGTTTAATACAATGTATGACTATGGATATCCTATCTTACTGTCAATACAACACACACATCACTAAATATAGCTTATACATTATACTCGTAGAATTAAAATATCACATAATTACGAGAAAAAAATAACAATGTCAAAAGATGTCACATATTTTTACGTTTTTAAGCGTTATTTTTTGTGGAAGTAGGTAATTAAGCCCTATGTGTGTGTTGTATACAATGTAGGTAAACTTCGAATTTTTTTTTCGTCATACAGGCAGCATCATATTTAAGTAGATATGTTTATATCCTTTGTCTATTACCCATAGTACAAGCTTTGCTTAGTTTGGGACTAGAGGCGCAGCCTAAAATGTCCAAGGATATTTATTTATTTTAATTTTCATACAAATCGAATTTTATAAAATTTATTTTGTATGAAAATTTAAAAAATTAAAATGATGATATCAAATTCTGACTTCACCATACCATTTATATGACCATGTTAACATGGGCTAGTGTCGGCTCATATACCCATTTACCTAACACCCTGTAGAGTGTAGTTAATCCCTTAATTATTCCCATAGAAAATCGGAAAAACGGATTGTTTTTGTTTCGCGTTAGTTTTATTGTTTGCATATTAAATTCAAATCCGGTCCGATCCTGTATTTTTAGTTGGAAATAAACCCGACATCGGAAAAAGTACAAATGTATTATTCGCTTACAAAATATATTTTTGAATCCAATTTTAGCGCGTTGTATTTGTCGGCGTGCTGGCGCGATGGAGGTTTAAACTTATTATTATTCAGTGGTTTAACTTTAACCAGAATGGAGAAATATATTTTTCATAGGTGATTTGAAACTTTAATATCAGAATAAAGGTCATAGCAGACTTATCAACTCAGAAAGGGATTAACCGAAAGAACCGAAAAATCTTACCTTCTAACCCCCCTTTCCCCGTCGGCTCAAGGGCTAAGGGCGGGGACTTTTGATATTATTATGTTCACCTCCTAACTAGTCTAAATAAAGTCCCGAAGTCAGAAATTGTGTTCCAGGCATTTCCCTCTAGACCGTCGTTAAAGCATTCATTGACTGGACTATTTATATCTGTGGTTGTAAACATTTATGTATTTACAACTAGCTAACTGACCTGCCTTCAATGTGTGAAAATAGTTTGAATATTTTTTCTCGGTGTTTCTTTACAAATAACTCATTTCATCACCAAGACACACGCGCAACTTAACAACATGTCAGTGAACAGATTATTTCGAGATGTATGCAAATAAGACAATGTGACATGAATCCATCTCAAGTTTTCGCATTAAACTAGTCAATTCAAGTCGATGACAATTAGGGTCGCATCCTTGGGGACCTCCAACCATCATGTTGGTATTCATCATAAGGAATGGGTAGGTAGCTAAAACTAGTTTTGTTCGTAGCTCCTCACATTAATGAGTAAAAAAATAAAAAATAACAATATCTCAATTATCATCAGAGTGCATAAGGCAAGTCCTTAAAGAAAATAGGTCATAACCAATCTCTACATTGACTTAAAGAAAGATAAGGTTAGCCATATCACAAAGGCAAACTAATACAGTTTCGGTAGATTATTATTTTAACTGAATACCTACGTAAATTCGAGCAGAAAATGCCATCAAATTCCTTAGTAGCCGATCTTGATAATAATTTTAGCAGCTAACCAATTTATTGTTGAAAATCTGTTAGCACACTGTTATTTCGCCAATCTCAAAATGCAGTTTAGTTCGTAGCCAACCCAAGGAGCGTTTGGGAGCGCCAAATTTCCAATATGGCAGACCCATTCAAGCGGGATGATTAAATTTTCAATCAAACGCAGGACATTGCGAAGGGTTCGTGTAAAATGTACTGTGGACATGGCGTTATTAAAACAAAGCTTATTGCTAGATGGATTTTGGTAACAGTAGGTAGCTGGTATAGAGATATTAAATTATTTAACCTTATTTTATAAAACCTAGTGGGATTCAAACCCCAACTTCAAACACACGTGATGATGTTTGTGTGAATGTTCAAGGCGAGAGTGAATAGGCACTTACAGGGCAGATATGTACCATCCTAGACCGCATCCCACTTAACATCAGGTGCGATTGTGGTCAAATACCTGCCTTGTTATGCATAAAAAAAATATATTAAAAATACGTAAAAGTACTAAACGGAACTAACGGTTTGCGCCGCCGTGAAAAGTGACGCTTTTTCTAGGTAACCCCATAGGATAATGAATATAAATATGTCCCATTCATTATCTTACGGGTTTGTATAACTGCTTAAAATGTAAGATCTAATGTGAATGTGCTAATGTGGTTAAGCAATAAACGATTGAGTATTAAAAAGTCAGTTTTGGGTATGTGCTTGTAAAATTTCAAAAATACATAATTCTCCTTCATTTTGGATTCAAAAACAGGACCTGTACGTATATTATATACGACATTTGAACACTGCAAGAAGTGTAAAGTCATAAATATTTATCAAACATGATGTTTTAATATTTCATGCACCTCGAGGGTTGTCCCGAAGAATAGGCTAGTAGGACGTTATCCCAACTAATATTATAAATGCGAAAGTAACTCTGTCTGTCTGTCTGTCTGTCTGTCTGTCTGTCTGTCTGTCTGTCTGTCTGTCTGTCTGTCTGTTACGCTTTCCCGCTTAAACCTCGCAACCGATTTTGATGAAATTTGGCATAGATATAGTTTGAGTCCCGGGAAAGAACATAGGATAGTTTTTATCCCGGTTTTTGAAACAGGGACGCGCGCGATAAAGTTTTTCTGTGACAGACAAACTTCCACGCGGGCAAAGCCGCGGGCGGAAAGCTAGTAAGCTATATTTTATTGCAGTATCATCTATAGATTGTAATTAAAAATATTAATAATTTGAGCATACAAAGTCCCGTTAACCCCTCTTCTGAAGCTAAAAATGCTTCACCTTGTTGAGCGTCGCGGCGGGAACCAGTTTCCTTGGATCCTGAGTCGAACAGTCCGATTTCTTCTTCTCCATTCGGCTATCGGATATTCGGGTATCGGTGGATACACGGTGGACCGACGACCTCATAAAGTAGCGGGAAGGCGCTGGATGCAGGCCGGCAACAACTAGCCATTGTGGAAATCGTTGGGCGAAGACTATGTTCAGCAGTGGACGTCCTATGGCTGAAATGGTGATGATGATCGTGATGTCTATCGTAGTCATTTAATTTTATAATCAAAGAGTTCAACTGAACCGTTTTCAACACATTTTCACAGTCACTTTAGGACTTAGGGCTTATATGACCTGAGTCTATGCCATGCTGGAAAACTTCCGATCATAGACGAAAAGAGATTCCAGTAACACAACACTATTTTCAACCGACTTCAAAAAAGGAGGAGGTTCTCAATTCGACCCGTATGTTTTTTTTTTTTTCTATGTTTGTTACGCGATAACNACAACACTATTTTTTGGACAACCCTCAACCATAACATCTGAGCATTTTGACATTCTGTACACAAAAATATTTATTTACGACTTGCTCAATACATATTTGAATTTTGATAAAATACAGCACCGTGATTTTTCAGGATGTTTGAAGTTGATTATTCTTACATCATTTACCTATGTAATATGTTAAAACAAGTATTTTGATGTTAGTTTTGTGATTACCCGTACATATATTGTATTTTTAGACATAGTTTATATCATATAAATGTGGGTAGCCAGTGAGAGTAACAGTGTCGTTTTATTTTTAAAAATATTATTTTGAATCGTTAACAAATTGTATTTTTTTGCCAAGATGGTGCAAGTGAAGGTGGCTGANGCCGGCGCGGAACTTCCGGAAGGTCGGGTGACGCCACGCCTCTTTGAACCGTGTTTACTTTGGCAGTTATATTCTATATTTATTTGATTCTAAAATATATTCCCAAAAATTTTGAAAGTTGTTTTAATTTGTATCACTTAGATATGATTTGTATTAGAAAGTGCTGTGAGTGTGACGCTTGAACGGAAGGAAGTCAACCTAACCTAACCAACTGCGTATTTCTATACTGTGTAGCCGCGAGAGCTCTTTGGCGCGCTGTCTTCGGCGAAGTATTGCGCGCGCAGATTTTGACAGCGCGAAATACCTACTTTAGCAGAAATACCAAGCCTTAATCAGTGCATCATATTACCCATTTAGGTTTAACAATTAAATATCGATTTAATAATGAAATGGACGCTTCACAGAGACCTATATTAAGACATATTAAATTACTTTTTTTATAAATTCATAAAAAAATGTGAACCATTATAGCTTTTTATCATACCGAGAAATTATCTATTAAATATCATTTTTTATAAGTAAACGAGTTTACAAAGACAACAAGTACTAGTTTTAGTTAAATTACACGTTTTGTCTTTACAGGCTTAGTTGGCAATGAGAGAACATTTGCTAATAAGCTTATGTTTGTAATTAAACTAAAAAGTTTAGTTTGCTGTTTAACGCGTTTTATACATTTGTTAGAACAATGCAGAGAATAAGGAAGACGATGGAGCACGAATACAACTCGTAGTTTACCGATAAATTATCCTTTCAGGCTCCCCAACCGCCGATCCCATGGGATGGAGTCCGAGATGCCAAAAAGTTTGGTGACATTTGTTACCAATTCAACTATTTAACGCAATCCCGCGAGAAAGGCAGCGAGGATTGTCTTTATCTCAACGTTTACTCACCCAATTTGAAGCCGGCCCAACGTTTGCCCGTCATGATCTGGATCCACGGAGGCGCCTTCTGTTGCGGCAGCGGCAACGACGACATCTACGGACCCGACTACCTCATTGAAAACGGAGTAATCCTCGTCACCCTAAACTACAGACTAGAAGTCCTTGGATTTCTGTGTCTGGACACCGAAGACGTTCCAGGCAATGCGGGAATAAAAGACCAAGTCGCCGCAATGAGATGGGTCAGAAAGAACATCTCTAACTTCGGTGGTGACCCTGAAAACATCACCATATTTGGACAGAGTGCTGGAGCCGCCTGCGTCACCTACCACTGTGTCTCGCCGATGACCAAGGGTCTGTTCAAAAGGGCCATCGCTCAAAGCGGATGCATGCTGAACTCGTGGGCACATGCCTACAGACCGCGCGAAAGAGCAATCGCTCTGGCTAAGCACTTAGGATGGACTTCGGAACAAGAACAAGACCTCTATGAGTTCTTCAAATCCCAACCCATGGAATCTATTGCGGAAATTCAAATACCGATAATGGCGCGCGAAAAAGATTTATCAATGTACGAAATTCAGTTTACAGTTGTTAGTGAAAAAATATTCCCTAACGTTGAAACGTATTTTACTGGTGATATCATAGAAGCACTCAAAACGAATATACACGAAGGAGTCGAACTAATTATAGGCTACAATGAAGATGAGGGAACTTCAAATGTAATGGTGACTCGCAACATGGAAAATATGATTAATCAAGCCAACACCTATGATGACTTTTTTCTCTCAAAACCCTTATCTTTATACTGCAGTGTAGATGGTGATAAAATTGATATGGCAAACACAATGAAAAAATATTACTTAAGGAATAAAAGAGTGCACATAAAAAATGTAAACGCATTATCTAATTATTTTTCTGCCGAAGGCATCAAATTTGGGATATGGGAGTTCGCAAAATATTTCGCTGCCCAAAACAAAGTGTACATGTATAAATTCTGTTGTAAATCTGAGAGGAACTTATTTTCTAAAATATATGGCGTGACAAAATACTACAACAACACACATTTGGTGGGGCACTGTGATGAAATGGGATACCTTTTCCCAGTCAAAATTATAAAACAGAATATTAAGGCGTCTTCTGACACGTTCGCGATGATCAAAACGATGTCAACAATGTGGACTAATTTTGCAAAACAAGGGTATGTTCATCATCTTTACCATAATAATACTAATACTAAGCTTTGCTATGAGTTTCCATTAAAACGTAATCGCTAGCGAGTAGGTACCACCTAAAAAAATCTATGAAATAGTTCTTGAAAGTAAGGGGGGGCCTTTGCCTCAAAAAAATTTACAACCACATTCAGAATATTTTTTACGCAGACGCTAGCGAGCAGGTATGTTAACTCATATAAGCCCACTGCTCAAAATATCATTAGTCACAAGTAAATTGACGTCTGTTATCACTTAAATATTATTTTAAAATAAAATACCTTGGTAGCTCCCTGATAAAATGAATTTGCACGTGTGAATTTTGAACACTAAAAAAATAAATTCTAACTATGGACTAATAAAAAATGCGATAGAGTCAAATCGTACGGACATTAAAAATTCCAAAAACACAACTCCTGAAATTAAGGATTTGTGCTGCAGTGTTTTTAATTATATTTATTTCTTTACCAGGAACCCAAATATGAACTCCGGTCTAATGCCCATGTGGAGGCAGTTCAAAGCCGACTCGCAGCACTACCTGATGATTGGGAGGGACCTGATCCGGCGCAGGATACCTGACAAGGAAGAGCAAGAATTCTGGCAACATTTGTACAACAAATACTTACCCCGTTACCTTTACCAGAACTGTAACAAACTATGAAGTGTATAATAATTTCTGTAAATTGAGGAGATGATGAGTATTTTTAGGGGATCCCATCTATTCGCATACTGGTTTACTTCTAATATACTTTGGCATAAAATCCTTGGTACAGTTTTTATCGCATAACATTACATTATGCCAAAATTTACAGGGTGACTTTGAAATCGTTGGCATCCTTTTAATATATGACTACTCATGATCCATAGTTATTTTACAACCCTTTTAAGGCGATTATCACACTGCGCAGCGCTCCGCCGCGGTACGCGGGACGACAGATTTAATCATTATATGCACTTGCATACAATGATTAAATCTGTCGTTCCGCGTACCGTGGTATGAGTATGAGGTACTTACCTCAGCTTGTATAGAAAACACGCACGGCACAACACACTGACAACGCGTCTGCGCGCGGGATTTTTTATACATATAATCGTGTGATAATCGCCTTACTACTTCATTATATTATATTTAAATGAGGAAGTTAAAAAAATATCATGAATTCTTTACATTATTTTCTACTATGCTATGGCAGTTTATTTTAGTAAGTTTCAGAAGACTCTATTTACTTTACAACCATTATTTGTACACCGAATATTTTTTACGTAATAATAAATGTTTTTGGGGCTAAGTGGTAGGGCCCAAAAGATAAGGAGACATGTAAAGTGCCCCATAAGGGCTACCTTTTCTTTTTTATTATTTATTAGATTATGACGTTCATATTAAGTGCCACTTGTGGTCTCCGGGTATCATTTTCCGGGTGTACTACATCACCGAAGGTTAAAGCAACCTGTCAATACAAACACTGCTGTTTGTTCATTACTTATAGGAGATCTGCGAACTGTGCGCTATTACTCATGACAAAATGCAGTTCTATTTCTTTTCCTAAATTAAGGAATGTTTCCTTTGAGTAAAACTTTCTATCTACAATATAAAGAGTACTTTCCCTCCAGGTGGCATTACAAATTCCACCCTGTATACAGGATGGAAACGATAAATGATCTCACTCGATTATTTCTAAACTACAGGCTGTTAGGTAAATGGGTTTATGAGCCGACACTAGCCCATGTTAACATATAAATGGTATGTGGAAGTCAGTTTAATATCATCATTTTAATTATTTTAATTTTCACACAAATCTGATTTTATAAATTTTATTTTTACTCACACTACGCCACCTGGTAGATACTTTTGAAAATATAGAATATTTTCTAACCGGCCCTTTTTCATAGAAATCCAATGTATGAAGGTGACTTTAAAAATTTTATTCTATACGAACTAAGCCACCGATAAGAATCGATAGGTGTAGGTAGGTATAGTAACAACAAACAAATGTACAAATTTACAAATACATATTAAGGAAATAGCCTTAAGTACATTAATGTTTATGAGCACGTCGCAGATAAACGCAGTCGTCTTTGTAATACGACTTACCCGCACTAACATATTTTTACTAATGACAATAAAAGTTTTTTAATTCAATAATGTTAATAAAATAACCATTAAAACTTCCCTGACCTTTTTCTAAAGAAAAAAAACTTTTCTAAGAAAGAAAAATCGCAATATTTAGTTTTACATAACAACTAATCATGTAGAATCGTAATTAGTTTTTTGTACAATACCAACCTCGAGCCAATGACGCACCTGCTGATTTTTCAATATAAATATGCCCCAATCTGTGCGAGCCAGTCACATCGAAGCTCTCAAGTCGTCAAACAGGCGTGTTTTTAACAATATTTGCATCTTGTTTTCGCGTGAACTGTGACTTTTTTAACCGACAAGGTAAGTGCTTGACGAAACGAAGCATAATCTTTTTCCATTATATTACTGATCTCGCTAAGGAATACCTGTCATTCGGAGGTTAGACAATCTATAATACCTAGTTATTTAAAACATTTTTCTTTGCAGATTAATTTAAGAAACAATGGTTCAAGTTAAAATAAGTGATGGCATCCTCGAAGGGGAAAAAGTACATAGTGATATTTGCGGAGACTTCTACAGCTTCAAAGGAATCCCTTACGCCGCACCTCCCGTAGGGGATTTGAGATTTAAGGTACATTCATATACTGTCACTAAATAATCAAATCCATAACTAACACTGTAGGTTAACGATAATAAGTTATTTAAAATTACTTTTATTTTAGGCACCACAACCACCGATCCCATGGGAAGGCGTTCGGCCGGCCAAGAAGTGTGGCAGTTCCTGCTACCAGTTCAACTTCATGACTCGCACCCGTCTCAACGGCAGTGAGGACTGTCTGTACCTGAACGTGTACTCTCCCAACCTGACCCCGGCGAAACCGTTGCCAGTCATGTTTTTTATTCACGGGGGCGCATTCTCCTGCGGCAGCGGTGACGACGACGTCTACGGGCCAGAATTCCTGATCCAGCATAATGTAATCCTTGTCACTCTAAATTACCGCCTCGAAATTCTCGGCTTCCTATGCCTAGACACAGAAGATGCTCCTGGCAACCAGGGAATAAAAGACCAAGTCGCTGCCATGAGATGGGTTCAGAAAAACATCTCACAGTTCGGAGGTGACCCCAACAACGTCACCATTTTCGGACAGAGCGGCGGAGCAGCCTGCGTCACCATGCACTGCATCTCACCGATGACGAAAGGACTATTCAAACGAGCCGTCGCTCAAAGTGGATGCATGATAAGCTGGTGGTGTCAATTCTACAGACCTCGTGACCGAGCACTCGCTCTAGCAAAAACCCTGGGATGCAATTCTGAAGATGACAAAGAACTGTACGAGTTCTTCAAAAACCAACCGGTTGAGAAATTATGTGAAATCCAAGTACCCATAATGTTGAAGGAGAAGGAACATGATTTGTACGACACTCAATTTTGTATTGTGAGTGAGAAAGTTTTCCCTAACGTGGAAACTTTTTTCACTGGCGACATTTTAGAGAACCTTAAAAACAATGTTCACGAAGGGGTGGAGTTATTAATTGGGCACAATGAAGACGAAGGAATTATAAACATCGCGGCTACACATGACATCAAGAGAACGCTTTACTACGCTAACAATTTCAAAGAGTATTTTGTTCCACGTCCCCTAGCTTACTACTGTAGTATTGATGACCAGCTAGACATTGGACAAAAGATAAAAGAGTATTATTTAAATAACAGAACTCTCACAACGAAAAATTTGAACTTGTTAGTGAAATATTTTACGGCTGAATCTTTTAAAATAGGAATTTGGCAGATGGCAAAGTATTTTTCGGTGAAGAACAAAGTGTACATGTACAGGTTTAAGTGCAAATCCGAGAGAAACTTCTTCGTGACGCTTTGCGGGATGTCAGAATACTTCCCAGGGGGCAGCGTGGTGTGCCATATCGACGAGATAGCTTATCTTTTCCCAGTGAAGGGCATTAACCAGAAGATAAACCCTTCTTCACATACCTTCAAACTGATCAAGACCGTGACACAGCTTTGGACAAACTTTGCGAAAACCGGGTAAGATATTGTCATGTTTAACATTCACGTGTTTAACCCATATTAAGAATACTAATCATTTTTGCATTTACTTAACCTATCTACATCTAAAAATAAATATCTACTTTATTCATGGATACCTACTAGTAGTACCCAATGACATTGACTAGACGGAACTATAACTCAAACTGATTGATTTATATAAATAGAGGTTAAAATCAATAAAATAAAACATTTTGCGTCTCTAATTTAAAGTCAATAAAAGCACAAAAGTGTTCCAGAAATCTACACTCTACATTTTCAAGTCTTTTCAGTCTTCTCTAATGCTTATCTGTTCCTACAGGAACCCAACTCCTGACACCAGTCTTGGCATCAGCTGGAGACAGTTCAAAGCGAACAGCCAGAACTACATGGACATAGGCAACCAGCTCGTCAGGGGCACCACACCAGACAGGGATGAGCAACTATTCTGGGCGAACATCTTCAGCAAATACCTGCCCAATGGAATATATAAAAATATGGAACTATAAACCCTAGAGTACTCCGTTAAGTTCCGCTTAATTTCTCCGGTGGATTGAAAATATTTGAGTATTAAGTAACCATATAATAATCAGTGACACCGATTCCAAATATACCAAATATTTTATAAAGAATTCATCGCATAATGTATTTTTAGATGTTAATGTAAGTATTTATATGAATAAAGGCCTTTGAATGATAACTGAGGGATACTTTTACATTTTAAGAAAGAAGACTTGCAGAGTAACGCATTTTGAAATGTTTTGTTTTGTATTAATAATAATTAGGTAACATTACTTATAATTATAACCTTAATAAAAATATAAAAATATATCCTGTGATTTCATTGACACCTCTCAAATTAATCATTCATTACTTGATAGTGAATCTGCTTAAGCCTAGGCGCAGACCACCGACTTTTAGTTGGCCGATAGTTGAGCCCGATTCTAATTTGTATGAAAAATCGGCTGATACCAAATCGGTGTAATGTGCGCACCTTCCATACATGTCCATTAGGGTGTCCCAAAAAAATCAATCCATGGCTGCAATGTATTTTTACGGTAAAAGCACCTTTGAGGATATTTGTTTTTAATGACCATGAAAAGTCTAAGAAAAAACGCAACCAAACCATCTCAAAAATAGCTTTAAAGAGTCCAAAATTTTGTCAGCATCTAAGGTATTTGATAGATGGAGTGGCTGTCTTGTTTATTACTTTGTTTTAATCAAAGGCATAGTCTTGTTCAATCAACAAACAAACTGACAGTTTCATGAACGAGAGTCCTACTCCATGATCTAATTATGCTTCTTTTCAATGCGCTAAAAACTTGATGCAGCGAAAAGATCGATTAAATTAATGTACAACTTTTATGGCGAAATCATTGTTAAGTAGGAACAACAGCAAAATTCAGATTCTGACTGTAAAAACGATATTTCAAAAGAAAATTTACGAATTATTAACATCTTTTTAATAATAGATATTTAATTAAAATAATATGCAGCTAAAACAGCGTTGTATTTACTAAACAAATGTTAAGTTCCACAATGTACAGTATCCTATACAGCTTCATACCTACAAACATTTTGGTAAAAGTTTGATGTCAAGTCGGCACGGGTTATAGTTATCCGATACTAATAATATTTGATATTTTAGTTGCTAGGGTCAAATAGAAAAAAACTAAAGGGTATGCGTACCAGAAATCGAAAAAAAAATTTTCGCCCTACTAGCCTGGGACACCCTAATGTCCATACTGATTAACTGAACCTGACTAAACTATTGGCCGTCGAAAGATCGGTGGTCTGCGCCTAAGCTAAAATATGGCAGTGACAGAAATTATCCACCTGCAGGTCTTTCATTGAACTCGACACTACGTCAGTACAGTGACCTCTAGACACCGTGTAGACACGTAACTCGACGGAATCACTATCAATACTCGTATGATGCAAATGAAAATGTAAATTTTTAGATGTTTTAGTTTGCTACACGTCATACAAACGTGATTTGGTTAGATTTTGTTCAAATACTGCTACTTATTTGCAGAATTGTAAAATCCAAGAATTCCCTAACAGTATTCAAGCTAGCTAAACTAATAATAATATTCCAGGGATCTTGAGCATTCCCATAGGATGTATCTCAGCGTTGATTAAAGTCGTTAAGCAAAGTTAATTAAAAAGCATCGATTCATTTGTAATGCGAGCCGAAAGATTGCGTTAAAATTGGTTACTTAAGAAAACTGAAACCGGACAAACAAAATGTTGAAAAGAAACCTTGGAAACTCCAAGAAATTGTTCTCTGGATCTTTCAGATCGAGTTCTTTGAATTGTTCTTTTGTCCTGAGGGTAGGCTACCTCTTGCCAACTTTGTAAGCAACAATTTTGTTCTANTTGTTCTGAACATAGTTCAATATAACAGTCGCTTTCATCAGCAAATTTGTTTAGCAGAACAATTTATAAAACACAAATAAAACCTTTGTTTGCTGTGCGATCTCGATGGTACTTCCTTCATCGTCAACAAAGACCGTGATATCAACTGTGTCACACTAGAAAATAAGTTATTGTGTATTATGTGTAAATCACGTATAAAAATAATAGCAGAACAGTTCGATCGTTCGTTCGTTTCAGCTAAATGACGTAAAATGGGGGGGGGCTGCCCACAGTACGTAGCAGTAATCAAGTATATCTTCAGCCTTTATTGTATCCATGTCCCCCTTACGGCCATGACTCCTTAGCCGTCATAGGGCCCTTTGCGCATGTACCCACGGCCCCGTGACCTTAGGGGCCCCCCGTTTAAAAAACAAAAATATAAAAATACTAACAATTGTACGTAATTCGGTGACAAGTACTTTAATTTTGCAAATCCCGTTTCCTTGAGAAAAGGAACTTTTGATCTTTAAATGCCCAAGGTCTCTGCCTGTTAGGCAGGCACCTAACGACCTATCCTAAATCTGCCCTGGGCAACCAGGGCGCGGCTCCCCTCTACCCTTATTTTATCAATTGTTAGGTGAACCTAAGCTCTAGTGTTTAGGCACTTAGTGACCTACCACACTGGCGGATTGCAAGTATTTTCTAAGCGTCGCCGCTCCGCTTTGAAAACGCTTGTGATTCGCCAGTGTGGCAAAGCCCTTAGTGTCTAGGAGCATAGTATAATAATTTAGTACTACACTAGGAGTTAGGGGACTCTACGCTCACTTCTGTGCTCACTTTGGAACTAGTTTCCGCCCAGACCTCATAACCCTTATTTGTTTCTGGATTTTAAGCCAATAAACCAAATTGGTCTTTGGTTACTTTATCTCCTAGATTCGTTTCTTTTATTGAAACAATTTTATCAATTCATTTCATCAATTTCAAACAAAATTGTTGATCGCATGATCCGTATCGTCATTTCGTCATTGTCACTTCATTAACATCTGAGGAAGGTGAAAAAAACATGATATATTTTTTGACACATTTCCATTGTCTTCTTACATGTATTTTTCTAATAAAAAGTACTTTAAATTCTTATTTTGCGTCAGATTCATGGCATTATGGCCCATTGCGATTTTTGCATTTGAATTTATATTTTAAAAGTGGGTACGAATAACACGTGTAACATTATATCGTCATTAGATTCTTTATTTTATTTTTCTCTTCAATATATCATTCAGTTCCCTATTAAGTGTTTTTTACTTAGCGGTGAACTACCAACTAAACTACTTATGGCGAATTTTTATGCCTTTTTCTCGAGCTTTTGCCTCAATCATTGGATTTGTCTTATATTTGGGGAATGTCCTTAGATATTAGTAGTATCAGGAGTAGAGTCTTATTTTAAAAGGATGCAAATGATTTAAATTTCACCCTGTATACCTGTAGAGACTTCATCCTCATCAAATTCTGTTTCCAAAGTCTATTCGCCAATAAAAATCGTGGATGCCATAAAACAGGCTATAACAAGATCCGAGGGCATTAGCTCGAGATAAAGCACGAGCTGTAACTGAAAGTCGAAATTGTTTTACTCGTAAAACCTACGAAGATAATTTACGTTTACTGTGCCCGAGACTTCGTACGCGTGAAAATAGTTTGAACAGTATTTCCCGTTATAGCAACAATCTGGGGGCACGGCAGTGCCCCCACCAAGTCGAGCAAAAAAGCGGCACAGCCGTACCATCCTTTTCTCGAAGCAATTCAGGCCATTTTCGACCGCCTGTAACTTCGTTGTGGATAAAACTAGAAAGCTGAATTTTCATTAGCTATACAGGCATTGTAAAGACACGGTATATTTAAAATTTCATTCAATTTGAACCAGTAGTTTAAGAATTATAACGGGTCAAAGTTACTTAATTTTGTCACTCACTGACTGACTGACTGACTCACCGATCATCAAAATTCTAAGGCACTTCTAGCAGACCTAGAAGCTTCAAATTTGGAATATAAGTAGTGTTTGGTGTATGAATCAAGAAAAAACTAAAATATTTGGGGGCACGGTATAGTGCAACCGCCAAGTCGAGCAAAATTTTTCAATTTCGGTCCAGTTTTCTAGATACATAACTGCTGTCTACAAAATACAAAAAGAAATGAGATCCCATCAAAAACAATACTTGTCAAAAAAACCAAGTCTTGCAACTCAGTTGTTCTACGGTAAAAAGTTGTGAGATCCATGTAATACCAAGTCCAGGCCAGGAAATCTTTAACGTTTTACATAAATATATTGACTTGGCCATCGCATGAAAACACGTGTAAATTAAATTATTTAGTGCGATGGCCAAGTCCATAATAATTTATGTATATTATTAGTCAATAATTATTTATACAGTGTGAGTCACGTTAAAGTGTACATATGAAAATAGATGAAACTAGACCTATTTTTATCGACAAAAAAGAGGTCAAAAAATTTTTGAGATTATTTTTTATTTTTTTATAGAATTTTTTATCTTCCAATTACTTATTGTAAATAAAACGTAATAACTTTTAAACTAAGCGATATATCCTGATAAAAAAAAAACAGTAATAATGCTAAATAACAGGCGATACTAAAAAAATACATAAAATACACAAAAAATGCCAACAAATAATAAAAAATGATACTTTTTGAAAAAAATCTATCACAACATTTGCTATGATCGTTTGAACAAAGGCCTGTCACCACATTATTCTCCGCTACAGGTAGAGACAATTTTAATTTTAACTAAAATGCTTATTTTACTTCAACATCTCTAACTTCGGTGGTGACCCTGAAAACATCACCATATTTGGACAGAGTGCTGGAGCCGCCTGCGTCACCTACCACTGTGTCTCGCCGATGACCAAGGGTCTGTTCAAAAGGGCCATCGCTCAAAGCGGATGCATGCTGAACTCGTGGGCACATGCCTACAGACCGCGCGAAAGAGCAATCGCTCTGGCTAAGCATTTAGGATGGACTTCGGAACAAGAACAAGACCTCTATGAGTTCTTCAAATCCCAACCCATGGAATCGATTGCGGAAATTCAAATACCGATAATGGCGCGCGAAAAAGATTTATCAATGTACGAAATTCAGTTTACAGTTGTTAGTGAAAAAATATTCCCTAACGTTGAAACGTATTTTACTGGTGATATCATAGAAGCACTCAAAACGAATATACACGAAGGAGTCGAACTAATTATAGGCTACAATGAAGATGAGGGAACTTCAAATGTAATGGTGACTCGCAACATGGAAAATATGATTAATCAAGCCAACACCTATGATGACTTTTTTCTCTCAAAACTCTTATCATTATACAGTGTAGATGGTGATAAAATTGATATTGCAAACAAGACGAAAAAATATTACTTAGGGAATAAAAGAGTGCAGATAAAAAATGTAAACGCATTATCTAATTATTTTTCTGCCGAAGGCATCAAATTTGGGATATGGGAGTTCGCAAAATATTTCGCTGCCCAAAACAAAGTGTACATGTATAAATTCTGTTGTAAATCTGAGAGGAACTTATTTTCTAAAATATATGGCGTGACAAAATACTACAACAACGCACATTTGGTGGGGCACTGTGATGAAATGGGATACCTTTTCCCAGTCAAAATTATAAAACAGAATATTAAGGCGTCTTCTGACACGTTCGCGATGATCAAAACGATGTCAACAATGTGGACTAATTTTGCAAAACAAGGGTATGTTCATCATCTTTACCATAATAATACTATAAGCTTTGCTATGAGTTTCCATTAAAACGTAATCGCTAGCGAGTAGGTACCACCTAAAAAAATCTATGACATAGTTCTTGAAAGTAAGGGGGGGCCTTTGCCTCAAAAAAATTTACAACCACATCTAACTTATAATAAATCTGTAGAGAGGTCAATTCTGTACATGAAATGTATTTTCAAAATAACTATCAGGGGGGTGATTAGTGATCGATACTGATGCCAAAAATGCAATCAGTAAAATTTTTGTCTGTCTGTCTGTATGTTCCTTATAGAAACAAAAACTACTCGACGGATTTTAACGAAACTTGGTACAAATTATTCTTCATACTCCTGGGCAGGTTATAGTATACTTAGGAGCAGAGTAGTGAAGGGAAATTTTGGGAAAACGGGAGAAGTTACTCCATTTTTTTAGCTTCCGTCGCGTGTGCAGCCTTAATGGTTAAAGTTACATAGAAATCATGTATGACGGAAATATAATTATCTAATCTAAATATACATATAAAAAGACGCACAAGCCTAAACGGCTAAACGTAGGCACTTGAAATTTGGAAGGGACGTAGCTTAGGTACCGTAGAGGTGTACTGAGAAAGGAATTTCCGAAATTCCCACGGGAACGGGAATTAGAGGGAAAATCCTATTGTACGAAAAATCTAAACCGCTTAAGTTAGACGCTTGAAATTTGGCATGCAGGTACCTTAGTAAACTTAAAGCTTAGTTACAACAGGATATTGCAAAATTCCCACGGAAACGGGAGTTAGCGGGAAAAAACATTTGTATGAAAAAATCTAAACCGCGTAAGATAGATGAAGGGGGTAAAACGGGATCCACGCTTACGAAGTCGCGGGTGGCCGCTAGTTCAGAATATGTTTTACGCAGACGCTAGCGAGCAGGTATGATAACTCATAGCCCACTGCTCAAAATAATATCATTAGTCACAAGTACTGACGTTTGTTATCATCACTTGAATATTATTTTAAAATAAAATGCCTTGGTAGCTCCCTAGTAAAATGAATTTGCGTGTGAATTTTGAACACTAAAAAAATAAATTCTAAATATGGACTAATCAAAAAATGCGATAGAGTCAAATCGTACACGGACATTAAAAATTCCAAAACCACAACTCCTGAAATTAATAATTTGTGCTGCAGTGTTTTCTATTATATTTATTTCTTCACCAGGAACCCACACATAAACTCCGGTCTAATGCCCATGTGGAGGCAGTTCAAAGCCGACTCGCAGCACTACCTGATGATTGGGAGGGACCTGATCCGGCGCAGGATACCTGACAAGGAAGAGCAAGAATTCTGGCAACATTTGTACAACAAATACTTACCCCGTTACCTTTACCAGAACTGTAACAAACTATTAAGTGTATAATAATTGCTGTAAATTGAGGAGATGATGAGTATTTTTAGGCGATCCCTTCTATTCGCATAGTGGTTTACTTCTAATATACTTTGGCATAAAATCCTCAGTATAGTTTTTTATCGCATAATATAACATTATACCAAAATTTACACGGTGAATTTGAAATCGTTGGCATCCTTTTAATATATGACTCTACTCATGATCCATATTTATTGTACAAAACTTTTACTTTACCTTACTACTTTATTATATTATATTTAAATGAGGAATGTAAAAAAATATCATTAATTATTTACACTAAGACGTCGACCGCGAAGACGATTTTGATAGCCCGTGAGAGTTAAATAAACTGAACTTATTTTAAAATGTACTATTAGTAGTTAATAGTGACAATAGTGACTGAGTTTCTTGCGCTGCTTCTTCTCAGCACTGGCCCATTTATTGTCCCGAAGCAGTGGTAGGGTTAATATTCATTCTGAAGCCACGATAGCCGAACGGTGAAGGGGTCGGACTGGCCGACTCGTGATCCGGGGAACGCGGGTTCGGTCCCCGCCGCCGCTCGACTATTGTGGTGAGCTCACTCGTGACACAAGCATATTTAGCTTAGTACGAGGGGCTAACGGGAGTATTAGTAATTTGTGTAATAACAAATTACTAATAATCTTTAAAAAAAAAAATATTGGGACGTGTAAAAGTGCGTTTTAAAAGCCTATTTGCAAAAATAAATGAGTTTTATGAGTTTTATTCGCGCCAGTGTTCACACTGACTATCTATCTACCTATAAATATAGGTGCTCACACACTTCGGTCGGTCGTAAGTCGTAACGTGGTAGTATTGTTGCTGCTAAAATGTTTTATTTTACTCTTCTAAACTCTACCTTGCAGTCGACCGCAAAAAATATTCTCGAGCATAAGTAGACCTCACAGATCAAAAGTTTGGCCACCCCTGTACTATGGCAATTGATTTTAATAAGTTTCAGAAGACTACTTAATTTTACTTTACCACCATTGTTTGTAACTCCGATTTTTTTTTACGTAATAATAATATGTTTTAGTCATCTAGTAAGCTATAATCACGTACTTAAAATCCAAAATTTCAAGTCTGTTGGTCATTTAGTTCCGAAGTTAAGCGAAAGCAAAGTTTCGCATTTACGACACTCACTCACTGATAATCATCAAAATAGAACTAAAGTCCGATTTTTAATTCGACGGAATTCTGACAGCTGTCATTTTTTGACAATTCAGATGTAATAAGCCTTTTTTGCTTTGAATTATTAATAAATAATATGAAATGAAATTTCATCAAGTACAACTTACAAGAATGAACTATTGTTTGTTTTGTGAATTCAATGTACACTAATTATTATGTACATTTTAGAGATTAAATAGAAAAAAAACGTGTTTTTAACACAGTAAAACAACATAATATTATTATCATAAACGAAAATATGTATCGATCATCAATCATCATTATCGTCATCATAATCAACTTGGATTATAAAATTGGCATCTTGTTAAATTGGTTATTTTATAAAGCTAAGATTTTATTAACAAAATGANGTTAAAGTATTTGTCGAAGAGAAATACTAAGGGTTCGGACAATATTTTCATTAAATAATGTTTCCGACAAAGGTTGTCAAACTGTTGTGGTGTTTCAACTACCTATTTTAAAGTTTTTAGTCACTTTGTAAGTGTTGAATTTTATGGAATTGGGAGAGAAGTACCGCGTTTGAAGCGTTCATGAGCAGACATTGTAAGTAGTTGAATATTCAAGTTCTGAATTTGATTTATTGATGAATAATAAAATAAATCCTACTAGCTCGATTAATGGTTTCATTTAATTTTTTTAAACCTATAATAAATAATCTCTTTTCGTTAATATAAGAAAATATCAAATTAGCCCGTAATCCTGAATCCTGATACATAAAGTTAGCCTATTAATTTAATACAGGTACGACTGTACTCAGTGTTGCACTATCAAATGCAATAGAGGCGCCTCTATGCCAGAGTTTTTATGTTCCTGGTCCTGACCAGGTATATCAGGTGATATAATGTTATAGCCTGCTATAACATTATATCGTCATTAGATTCTTTATTTTATTTTTCTCTTCAATATATCATTCAGTTCCCTATTAATTGTTTTTTACTTAGCGGTGAACTACCAACTAAACTACTTATGGCGAATTTTTATGCCTTTTTCTCGAGCTTTTGCCTCAATCATTGGATTTGTCTCATATTTGGGGAATGTACTCGTACTACTATTATCAGGAGTAGAGTCTTATTTTAAAAGGATGCAAATGATTTAAATTTCACCCTGTATACCTTTAGAGACTTCATCCTCATCAAATTCTGTTTCCAAAGTCTATTCGCCAATAAAAATCGTGGATGCCATAAAGTAGGCTATAACAAGATCCGAGGGCATTAGCTCGAGATAAAGCACGAGCTGTAACTGAAAGTCGAAATTGTTTTACTCGTAAAACCTACGAAGATAATTTACGTTTACTGTGCCCGCGACTTTGTACGCGTGAAAATAGTTTGATTAATATTTCCCGTTTTTGTAACAATTTTCTTTACTGCTCCGTCCTTATTGGCTGTAAGGTGATGTTACCTAAAGTCTTCCTCGATAAATGGGCTATTCAACACAAAAATATTTTTTCACATCGGACCAGTAGTTCCCGAGATTAGCGCGTTCAACCAAACAAACACTTTTCAGCTTTATAATACTGATGAGTTGCACCATCTCACTTTAACTTTGATAAACGTCAAAAATCTGTTAAACCCCATACAATAAGCACCGGTTATTGTTATTATTACGGTTAAAATTTAAATTATAACGGTAGAATTTTGGTGGATGATAGCTGAGTAAATACAAATGAGTAGGTCATCTTCATAGAAACGCCCGAGCGCGGTTTGTATGTGAGCGCGCCAATACGTATGTGGCGCGCACGCACACACTGACAAAATTTAGCGTGGATTAGCGGTGAGGTGCTACTCTGATGATAGGGTATATAGAAAAAAGGGAAGCACAAAATAAGGTCGACATGCACTACGCTTAGTTGTAGCTCTACACATAGGATAAAAATAATTAGCTTAAATACATATAATAGGTTCGTTTATGAAAAAAGGTCCTGTTCTCCCATAGAACCAGCCGCGGCTGCATAAAATATCTCCATGTCAAAAACAAATACTTACAGACTTGTTTTTGCATATGGGTATATACAAAAACAGGTATTAGAGTTCGTGGATCAAATGTCAGATTACCAACTTTCGAAAACAANAAAAGCAGTTTTTTTTTTTCAAAAAGTTTCATTTTTTATTATTTGTTGGCCTTTTTTGTGTATTTTATGTATTTTTTTAGTATCGCCTGTTATTTAGCTTTATTACTGTTTTTATTTTATCAGGATATACCGCTTAGTTTAAAAGTTATTACGCTTTCTTTACAATAAGTAATTGGAAGAAAAAAAATCTATAAAAACTTTTTAAAAAATCTCAAAATAATTTTGACCTGTTTTTTGTCGATAAAAATAGGTCTAGTTTCATCTATTTTCATATGTACACTTTAACGTGACTCACACTGTATACTGAATTGTCTTGTAAGTATCTATTTTTGGAAAGGGTCATGACCACGGTTTCAAACAAAAAATACAAATGCAAATAATTTATTTCATTAACAAACAGTTACTCCTGAAATCTGCATTCTGAGTGATTGTGCGATTTACAAAAGAATACGTCACAGTTCGTTCGTTCGTTTCAGCCAAATGACGTTCCCTGCTGGACAAAGGTCTCCAGACCGGTCCTGGCTGCCCGCATCCAGGTACTTCCCGAAACACAAGTCACAGTGAATATACTTAAAAATGGACTGCCCATCACAGTCAGTTATTTTAATACTTCTCAGCACTTGCCAAATGTTTGTCTCGAAGCGCTGGTAGGGTAAAAAAGAATGAGACATGTATAGACTCCTTAAGAGCATTTAACGATTTGTAAGTACTAATTTATTAGTCTACACTGTAGACCAGGGTTTCCCAATTTTTTTTTGCCAAGGAACCCTAATTGATTACACTTTTCCTAGCGGAACCCCCGTACTACTCCGCCCACACGCCCTGCCCCTCCCTTGTGCGTAAACAAGTCGGTGCGAGCGAACAACGTCGGTCACGAAACGTGGGATAATATTTTTTACGGAACCCTTGCGGCCTTTCCACGGAACCCCAGGGTTCCGCGGACCACCATTCGGGAACCGCTGCTGTAGACTGTAGCCTGTAGAGTCTATCTACAGTGTAGACTCTACACAAATAAAGATAATTTTGATTTTTTTTTATTTTGGCTAAAATGTATGTTTTTAGTAGTTGACAACCCTATACCCAGTCGTAAAGATCGGATAGCCAAATTATTTACGACACAGGGCAGTTTATGGCCGCCATATTGCAGAGGAGTTGCCAGCGATAACTGAGGGATTTGAGGTATCCAGTTTCGTTTATTTACAGCTACGGCTTTCCTGGTGGTATTAAGGAGTTATAATAGTGTTATAAGCGCAACTTGGTTACGACTTAATAAGACCGTTTTACAGCTATTGGATAAGGATGAGCCTTTTGAATATGGTAACAATATTGACATAGGATATGATGATGAACGATATTTAAATAAGTGAATGAGTAACTATATAAGTGCCAATTCAGGCGATTTTTTTCTAGCAAATAATTATACTTTTACTCTTGTAGAACATAATTTCTATTAAACTAGATAGCTCAATTCATTAAATCAAAAATTATCGAATGATAAAAAAAACTAAAAACATCAGCACTCAAAGCACATCATACTTACATTATTTTTTTCTAATTCATACATAATACATATTTCTGTTGACGTCATCTTTGCTATAAAATAAAAAAATGAATAATTAATATTACATACTTAGTGTCATGTGAAACAGAACAATCCTTGACACGGCCGGGCGGCCTTTGGAAAAAACTGGGTTGTAATGCCACTCATACACACAATCATTTTCATACTCATTTTTTTATTTATCCACAACGAGGAAGCTCTTGGCCTGTATCTCACCTGATGGTAAAGTGACGATCAGGCCGAAGGTGGGAGCGAGCTTCACCCGGAATCCTCAACTACGAAAGAACTGGCTATATAACCTCTAATCTGTTCCGGCGAACACAACAATGCTGGTAACATTGTTGTTATGTTCACAAAT